CACGGTATATAAATATTTCTCAATTTACAAAGTCGTTTTTTTACTTTCAAAATAAGTCTATTGCCAACACTTGCCTAGTAATGCACTTCTCAAATCCGGATTGAATCTTGGGTAATACATGTTTTGGAAACCTTGCATAAATACGAAACACAGGACGGCATTTAGTTCGAATACTTTAACAGTCGTACAGCTGCCCAACCTCGTGTGGGACCTTGTAAAGCTAAGCAGGCTAGAGCCTGGAGAGTGGTTGGATGCAACCACCATGCATAACGGGTTGCTGTGGGTTGCTGCTGCTGCTGTTGCTAGGCTGCTGTTGTGCGCATCACAGGGGCAGGGCAGCTAAAACAATCCACGGTTGTACTGCTCTATGCTCCCGGTGTCTCCACCATCCGCACCGTGACCAGCCCCCACAAGACACGCGGCGTACGGAGGGGAATAGGCATCACCATCCAGCAGCAGCGGAGAGACGCGCGTGTCGCGCACCGTCGATCAACAGTCAAGCCACTCGGCCGTCGTCAGCGCCGTCACAAGAACAACGTGTGGGGGGGGGGGGGGACAGCGAATTCCCACGTGTCCCGGCGCATTTTGATGAACGATCGCAGCGATTTTTAGAGCGGCCAAGTAACCACTTGTAAAAAGATATGGATTGATAAACGGCTTAGTAACATTACACGCCTTCGTTTTTATCAAGCGCGCTCTCTTCTCATCTCTCTCTCTCTCCGTGCCAGAACGTTTCTAGCTCGACCCGCCAGTGATGTGAACGCGGGCTACCGCTGGGGAGCGGCGCTCGAAGGCTCCCAAAACGCACCGAGCGGAGAGCAGCGCTCGCTCCAGCTCCCTCCGCCGGGGGATTGAGAGAGACGGCCCGGCCGATGGGGGCGGTGGGATGAAGGCGTCCCCAGGGCGGCCGGCAGGACTCGAGGCACGGAGGAGTCGAGCCGGAGGGAGGGTGAGGCGAGCCCACTGCTGCCAACGGGCGCCGGGTTTATTGCTTCTTAGTTTTGTGTCTCGACATCTCCCCTGCTCGTAACGGGATGGTGTGGCAACACTGGACTGCAGCAATCAATCAATTCATTTTGATTTTAATCCGGTGCAGGTTTTGCGTCGGTCGACTATAAAAGCGTGTTGCACCTACGACAAAAGTTTGAATGAATTTGAGGTGACGAACAAAAGCAAACGGAGACGCTTGCTCTACTCTACAAACGAGCAGTCCATTTCCCCTGGGAGTCATGCGACGTTCACGCACACCGAACCCAGACGTGGCAAATCCACCCTGGCACGAAACGCAACACCTCGAGACGCACTTCACCTCGGCAACCACTGAATAGACATCTATCAACCACCAGCGGCAGTTTTAGTTTTTTTTGCTTTTACAGAGTTCCAAGGTTGCACGAAGTGCTAGAACAAAACCGTTTTAAGTTTTTTATTAATCCGAGACACAGGCTTCGTTATTACGCAGTGCGCTCAAGTGCTTTTGGAAACAGCTTTGGCACAGCATCGGTTCGTGCTCAAAAGAAGAGCGGATGAGGTCAGAGTTACAAAGATTAACTTTAGTGCAGAGCGCACGTGCAAGGCAGTCACGCAAGCCACGTGATGTGTGTAAGTTCACTTGGGTGCGAGTCACACGGCGGCGTTCCCACCACGTCACCCCCCACCGGCCAAGTCCGTGAATTCCGTGAATTCGGGTTCGATATTCGAGTTAAGAGTCCATTATTAGCGTGTTTTTCGTGAACGTTTCCTGTTTGTACCGTATCTTGCTTGCTTCACGATACCGAATGCATCACCAGCAGACAACCTTTCAATAAAGAGTGAACGTATTCTCGCAAAATCGCGGCGAAAAGACGCGCGCTTCGCGATCGTGCAGGAATTAATTTTTTAGCGTAGATCATCACGCACGAGACGACATCGCGCTGCGTCGCTGCGCCGGATGCGGTGCGGGCGGGCGGAAGGTGATCGCGCGCCGTGGCGGGCCGAGTTGTAAACATAGCGGGGGCTTCAAATTCGTGGGTAATCAACGAAGACGAATAACACATTTACGCCACAAGGCATCGACACGAAACCCAAAACAAAACGACTCGCGCGCTCAGTCGTCCCTGAAGCGGGTGGCCGCACGAGGCGGCCGGGAGGAACGTGAGCTCACGAGGCTTTTCCCACGATGCCCTGCGGGACGAACGAGCATTGGACTTCAGCGCCCGTAACCATTTGTGTTGCTCCCCCTCACGGCGGACGTCGATGCCCGTTGTCGACGGGAGACGACGTTTGATCGGGCGCGAGTTTTCCTCGAGAAACTCCCCTTACGGAGAGGGGGGGAGGAGGTGGGGGGTTTGGGCGTCGTTACAGACAGGGCCGTTCGTCGTCAGCCTGACGGTTGCCGGGGGGCAGGGTAGGGGCAAAGGAGGGTGGAGGTGCTTGTTTCGTCGATAGCGATGGGGGTCCGGTGCACGGTGGGAGCTCGCGGACGGTTCCACGGTGGCAGCCGTCGCCCGGCGGAGTCGCGAATTGGTGACGCGGCCGGCACGGGCAGTGCGGTCCCGGCTAGAGTTCGGAGCGGGAGCGCGTGATGCGCGGCCCCTTCCGCTTCTCGCGCTTCTCCTCCTGCTTCCTCCTCTTCTCCTCCTTCCGGAACGCTCGCGCAGCACCTGCGTGTCCCTCAGCATCTGAGCCCCCCCCCCGCCCCCAGGTGCGCGTGACACCACAACAATCACGGCAGGGGTTGGCGAGCGAACACGGGGCGCGGAAATAAACGCAGCGCCGTGTCTTGCGTTTAAACGTCCGTGAGCCGCTGCGCGCAGAAAGTCGGAATTACCTTCTCCTCGTCCAGCTGGAAGGGGTTGTGATATTCGGGCGACTTCTCGATGAGACCCAGCTCCTGCGCGCCTGGGCTCAAAACAGATCAACACCAGCGCACGCACGGGTATCAAAACAAAGAACCCGGAGGAAACCCATGCAGAACAGTGGGGGGGGGGGAAGGAGAGAATATACAAACTCCACGCCGTAAGAGGCGCCCGGATCGGGAATGGAGCCCGGCTACCGTCTTGTCGCCTCACCAGGCCCAGCAGCTGCGCGTGGGTGCCGTCGGCGAAGACGCCTGTGCCGTTGCAGAAGAGGAGGCCCCAGCGCACGAGGGCGAGGCGCTCCGCGCTGCCGTCCACGTAGCTGTGCACGATGCGCGGGAAGCGCAGGAGCACGTCGCCGAAGAACGCCACGTTCTCCACCACGTGGGAGAACGCTGCCGGGGCGGGGGGGGGGGCGGCACGGGACGATGGTCGCTTCACGACGCCACGAGGGAGCGCCTTGCGCCTCGGCGCAAACGCCCGCGCCGCTATAACGGACGACGCGAGCCGGCAAACAAACTAACTCTGAATAAATGTAACATTTTATCTATTGCCGACGCTGAAAGCACGGAATGGAATGGCACCAGATCGCTTGACGATTATCATGGTTGGCTACGTATGGTGCGAAAGAAGTTCAACATACATACATGGTCTCCCTATAAGCCTCAGCATGATGCCAGGCCTGGTAACCAAGGCTATATTCTGTCCGGGTCAGTGACCCAGAAAACGTTTCCACGCCTGGCACACCGCATACGGTATACCTCTCGATATGGTTGTAGCTGCTACAAGTCACATCCCTATCCCAGTCTTCCTATTACGCGAAAAATAACCAGCGAAGATTGGGGCCCTGGCAGTAACGGTGGGCACCCCGTACCGTCCCTCTGTGGGCGTCGTCGGGGATGGGGCCTGAAGGCAGCACGTTGGCGGCAGCCAGGATCACGCGCGATTCCTCCAGCACCTGATGCACACACACACGCACACACACACACATACGCGCACACACGCGCACACACGCACACACACGCACACACGCACACCACGCACACACACGCACACACACGCACACACACACGCACGCACACACACGCACACACACGCACACACACGCACACAACGCACACACACACGCACGCACGCACACGCACGCACACGCACACACACACACGCACACACACGCACACACACGACACGCACGCACCGCACACACCACACGCACACACACGCACACACACGCCAACACGCACACACACGCACACGCACGCACACGCACACACACACGCACACACACACACACACACACACGCACACACACACACACACGCACACGCACACACACGCACCCACACACGCACACACGCACACACGCACACGCACGCACACGCACACACACACGCACCACACACACACGCACACACACGCACACACACACACGCACACACACACGCACACACGCACACACACACACGCACCACACACGCACACACACACACACGCACACACACACGCACACACGCACACACACGCACACACACACACGCACACACACGCACACACACGCACACACACGCACGCACACACACGCACACACACACGCACACACACACACACACACGCACACACACACGCACACACACACACGCACACACACACACGCACACACACGCACCTTATTAGTCACTGCGAGCTGTGCCACAGGGCAGCAAACTGAACACTTCGGCATTCGCATTTATTGGAGGATTAATGCCCCAGCATCTCAATGTGCCTTGAATCTCATCTCAATCGTTCCAATGCCCGGCTGCAAGTATTCTTTAGCCTAGGGGACTCCCGTAGGACAGCCGTCCCTGTGCAGGAGGTCCAGGTCTGCTTTCAGATATTTACTAATTTAATTCGTTTAACCCCAGGTGAGATCTCAAGAGCGGCCTGGGTCAATAAAACGTCAGAAGCAACAACACAAAACCCTCACTTGCACCATCTCCATGCGGCGCTGCTCCCTCTGGGTACAAACACGCAAAAGCACGACTGACGCAGAAGCTCAACACGTCCGTCGACAAACCAACACTGCGGCGGCCTTAAAAGAACAAAAACTGAAATGTAGCAAGGGGCGTGACGAAGGGCCATTCGCCCCCCTGAAACGTTGCCCTACGAACGCATTCGGTCACCTTGAAGAGGCCCTGCAGCATGATGTCGATGATCTTGTACTGCTGCTGGAGGTCCCTCAGCTCAATGAGGGTCTTGAGGGCGTTCATCTGCTCCTTGCGTTTGACCTCGAACAGCTTCTTGTCTTGGCGCCCGTCGAGTCAAGGCGTCGGCGGCGATCGCAACGATTCCCAAAAGGGAGCGCCGGACTCGGAGAAGTGGCGATCCGACGGCGCTCGGACAGAGAGGTCGAACCGCTCACTGCGCAACTCGAGCCCGGCGAGTCGTTCCCAATCCACGACGCGCAGGCGCACGCCGCGTTCCGCAGGGCAGCGGCTTCACTCGGCGACTTACAAGCTCATCATAATTACAACAACAATAATGTCGAGATTTGAAGTTTTCGTGACTGCAAGGATCCATACTCTTTGGTTCTTTTGGTAAAGTCAAAATAAAAAATATATTTTTCATCTACGTGACTTTACCGACAGAACCAAAGAGTAATAATAATCTCGATTTGTAACACGCTGCACAGTAACCGCTCGCTCTCGACCAGAGATAACGACTCTGATGGGCAGCAGCAGCAGCATTCAGATGGCGCACCGGCTCTACCAATAATTAAGTTGTTATCGGCCAACTAATGCGCATTCATTCGCTTGAGTGCATCGGTTCCCAACCTGTGGTCCAGAAGCCCATGGGGAAGTGGTCCACGGAACTCTTGCAGACACGATGCTTGGCAATAGCTCGCATTCTGCAATGTTATTGGGGCACGCAGTCCACGAGCCACAGCAGAAATCGGTACCACCAAGGGGAGCAATACTTCGGCAGTACCGATTAATGCGACAAATATGGGTGGATTATTTGACAACCCCGCTCATTTTCAAATCGATCTCACAATCATTCAGTCCCCGTGAGTGGCCGCACGAAGAGGCTGGAGCCACGGCGGTGACGCCACCCCGGGCGGTAGTCGTGACGAGGATACAGAGACCGAGGGAGACCTTGTCCGGGGCGGTGCGTCGCTCCTGGGCCTCCGCAGCAGCAGCGGCGGCAACCGCGAGCAGCAGCAGCAGCAGCGCAGTGGTCGTGGCGGCGCCACCACCGCACCACCGTGGCCACACCACGGGCACACGAGCGCCCATTTCCTCGCCAGCCAGAGGTGCCTGGGTGGGCAAGGTGCGAGGCGCGGGTGAGCAGGGCGATCCGGCACCCACCGATTCACTCCGGCGCCCACCGATTCACTCCGGCGCCCACCGATTCACTCCGGCGCCCACCGATTCACTCCGGCGCCCACCGATTCACTCCGGCGCCCACCGATTCACTCCGGCGCCCACCGATTCACTCCGGCGCCCACCGATTCACTCCGGCGCCCACCGATTCACTCCGGCGCCCACCGATTCACTCCGGCGCCCACCGATTCACTCCGGCGCCCACCGATTCACTCCGGCGCCCACCGATTCACTCCGGCGCCCACCGATTCACTCCGGCGCCCACCGATTCACTCCGGCGCCCACCGATTCACTCCGGCGCCCACCGATTCACTCCGGCGCCCACCGATTCACTCCGGCGCCCACCGATTCACTCCGGCGCCCACCGATTCACTCCGGCGCCCACCGATTCACTCCGGCGCCCACCGATTCACTCCGGCGCCCACCGATTCACTCCGCGCCCACCGATTCACTCCGGCGCCCACCGATTCACTCCGGCGCCCTCCGATTCACTCCGGCGCCCTCCAATTCACTCCGGCGCCCTCCGATTCACTCCGGCGCCCTCCGATTCACTCCGGCGCCCTCCGATTCACTCCGGCGCCCACCGATTCACTCCGGCGCCCTCCGATTCACTCCGGCGCCCTCCGATTCACTCCGGCGCCCACCGATTCACTCCGGCGCCCCCGATTCACTCCGGCGCCCACCGATTCACTCCGGCGCCCTCCGATTCACTCCGGCGCCCACCGATTCACTCCGGCGCCCTCCGATTCACTCCGGCGCCCTCCGATTCACTCCGGCGCCCTCCGATTCACTCCGGCGCCCTCCGATTCACTCCGGCGCCCTCCGATTCACTCCGGCGCCCACCGATTCACTCCGGCGCCCTCCGATTCACTCCGGCGCCCACCGATTCACTCCGGCGCCCTCCGATTCACTCCGGCGCCCACCGATTCACTCCGGCGCCCTCCGATTCACTCCGGCGCCCACCGATTCACTCCGGCGCCCTCCGATTCACTCCGGCGCCCTCCGATTCACTCCGGCGCCCACCGATTCACTCCGGCGCCCTCCGATTCACTTCGGCGCCCTCCGATTCACTCCGGCGCCCTCCGATTCACTCCGGCGCCCTCCGATTCACTCCGGCGCCCACCGATTCACTCCGGCGCCCTCCGATTCACTCCGGCGCCCACCGATTCACTCCGGCGCCCACCGATTCACTCCGGCGCCCTCCGATTCACTCCGGCGCCCTCCGATTCACTCCGGCGCCCTCCGATTCACTCCGGCGCCCTCCGATTCACTCCGGCGCCCTCCGATTCACTGCGGTGCTCAAGTCGCCTCCTTTTCTCTCTTCTGTGGCGACGATCGTGGTTAGCGCTCCTGTCAGCACCAATCGTTGATTCGTCCATGCGGGTTGAGGGATCGGTCTCTCACGGACACGGACTGTGTCGTAACTCATGCACCATATTGTGTTCAGCCACCACGCTTCAGGTCACAACAACATCAATTACCCACCCACCTACCCATTCACACCGTCACTCACCCCGTCACTCACTCACCCCGTCACTCACTCACCCCGTCACTCACTTACTCACTCATTCACCCCATCCCTCATCACTCACTCACCCTGTCACTCACTCACCCTGTCACTCACTCACCCTGTCACTCACTCTGTCACTCACTCACTCACTCACCCTGTCACTCACTCACTCACTCACCTGTCACTCACTCACCCTGTCACTCACCTGTCACTCACTCACCCGTCACTCACTCACCCTGTCACTCACTACCCTCACTCATCACTCACCCTGTCACTCACCACACTGCAGGTCGCAACATTTCTGCTTTTTCCCTCACACCGCTCGGTT